GCGGGGGGGGGGGCGCGCAGCTGGTTTGCCCCCCCCCCCAGCATACCAGGCTTTTGTTGTGGACCCTGGGGTAGAGCAGCTGGGGTGCTGCCGGGTTGGTCCTGCAGGGACCTACCTGGCAGCCCAGCTGTTCTGTCCCAGGCTTGAGATTCAGCCGCTGTTGAAACTGATCAGTGGCTGATTCCAGGAAGCTGGGGGCAGAGCAATTCTGCCTCCAGCTTTCTGTAGTCAGCCCCTGGTCAGTTTCAGCAGCAGCGGCTGAATCTGGAGCCAGTTCCGACTTACATACAGATTCAACTTAAGAACAAACCTATAGTCCCTATCTTGTACGTAACCCAGGGATTGCCTGTATAGGGTAATGGAGATGCTGAGGAAAATCAGTGAAATAGTGAGAGAGAGTTTAGAGGCTCTAAATCAAAGAAGTGGGACACTTACTATGAGTTCAGAGAACTGAGATACCTAATGTATGATGAGAAAATGCAAGTTTCCATTTATCCGTCAGAACTCTACACTATTTTCTGAAATATTTTTGAAAAAGACCCTTTTAAAATAAGAGTTGAGCTCATTTACCTTAGGAGGGAAACAAGTAGGCGACTATACAATTAACCTATAAGCCTAGGCCTATAGGTTAATCTAGCTGACTACTCACATTTCCTGCTCCCGTTAGGGGAGAGGGGACAGGAAGCAGAAGCCAGTGCCGCCTGACCTCTCCACGCTACTGCCTCTATCAGAGGCAGCAACCCAGGAAAGACTGCTGGGAACGGATCACTTGATGACTGCCTATTCTGTTCATTCCCTCCGGAGCACCTGGCATTGGCCACTGCTGCAAAATAGGATACGGACCTTTGTTCTGACTTAGTGTGGCCATTCCTATGTTTATTACCCATAGGTATTACAAAAGACTATAAACTAACAGCATTATAACAGACTATCATGTCACCTCAAATAAAAAAAAGCTAAGGAAATAGAGGCAAAAATCCACAATTTTCAATTTCTCTATATTCTAGGATTCTAGGTAATCAAGGCAATAATACAATTGTAAGACTGTTAAATACTTTAAAACGCAGAATGAAGAAACAAGATACTCTCACT